TGTGGATTAACCAACAGATTTCCCCCGTGTGATAACGTCCATAGATGTGTTAGTCTGGAATGTCAATATTCAAAGGGATCTTGTAGCACCTTTTAGAATAACTGAAAGAAAGGAGTTGTATCATAAGCTTTTGTAGACCTGGGCTGCATCCACAGTGCAGAAATAATCCAGTTTGACACCACTTTAATTGCCATGATTCAATGTTATGCAGTTCTGGGATTTGTAGTTTTGTGAGACATTTTGGCCTTCTTTGTCAGAGAGCTCTGGTACCACGACCAGCATGAATCAACCCTTAAAAAGCTACTGAAGTGATATTAAGCTTTAAACTAATGTAGTTTCCTCCAGTAGTCTTTTTTTTTTTTTGCCATGGCTCTCTGATCCCTCCCCACCTTCTTCTTTCTAGTGACACATGTACACATACACACATACATGTGCATGCCCACATGCATACACATAGTTCAGTTCCATCAAGAATCATAGTATCACTCAGGCTTTTAAAAAAGCCTTTCCCCTCCAGATGTCCAACCATCTAAATGTTTATCCAGATCTCTATCTCTATTTCTCTTTTTAAAAACAACCAGTTATTTAAAAACTTTAAAAATAAAATAAAGAGTACTGTGAAAGAAGAGTTTACATGATGTCCATATATAGTTTTATGTACATGTAGATCATGAAGTAGAAGGGTTGTCTTGTTGTTTTGTGCCTTCAAGTTATTTCCAATTTATGGCAACTCTAAGGCAAACCTGTCATAGGGTTTTCTTGGCAAGATTTGTGCAGAGGAGGTTTGCGATTGCCTTTCCTTGAGGCTGAGGGCATATGACTTGCCCAAGGTCACCTAGTGGGTTTCATGGCTGAGCTGGGAATTGAACCCTGGTCTCCAGAGTTGTAATCCAGGAATCAAACCACTATGCCATGCAGGTTCAGGGTTGCCTTACTGTTTGCCATAAAGACTAGCCAGACTCATTTCTTGAAAGAAGAAGAACCAGGAGTGATTTACTTTCAGAATGCATGATTTTTCCCCAAAAGAGGTTACAGCCACTGGGTTCATCCTGCTAGACATGCACATTTATCTCAAATCTTTTCTTTCTTGTGCATTTCAGACTGTCTATGTTTCAATTTTATTCTAAATTTGTGAAACTCAGGGAAAATATCCTTCAAGAACCAAATGTCATAGGTGCATATCAGAATTTAATATCGCAAATAAAACCTTTACTGAGTTCATCTTATGTACCCCAAAACATCAGAATTAAACCTAGGACTTGGTTTGATTAGGACTGTTTAGACTCCAAAACAAAAACAAACAAACAAACAAAAAACATAGCCAACGAAATTAGAAAATTGAAGAGTAAGACTAAGGATACCAAAGGAAACACCTCAAATCAAATAGCCCACTTACGGCAAAACTATAAAAAAATACTTAAAGAAAAGAAACAAAAATATTATGAGGTACAATGGAAAGAATTAGGAGAGGCAGCTATTCAAAAAGACTCCCCAAAATTTTGGAGCTTAATAGCCTCTGGCACTAGAACATCAAATTATGCATTAGAGCAGGGGTAGGCAACTTTTACCCTTTAAGGGCTGAGGGACTTCAGCTCCCAGAATCCCAGGAGCTATTGGCCAACATGGGACTATTATAGGCCAACGTGGCTGAGACTTCTGGGAGCTGAAGTCCCTTAACGGGGAAAGGTTGCCTACCCCTGAACTAGAAGCTGTAGTGCCAGGGAAAGATTGGGAAAACTATTTCACCAATATTTACAATCCCTACCATGGCCTCTCACACCCAATCCATCTTGAAAAACCATTAGATACCCCTGAATGGCCCGAAGTCACTGCAAACCAAATTAAGGGAATCATAGCTAGACAATCTAACAATAATGCTCCCGGTGAGGATATGATACCTACTGAATTACCGTGTTTTCCGGCGTATAAGATGACTGGGCATATAAGACGACCCCCAATTTTTCCAGCCAAAATATAGAGTTTGGGATATACTCGCTGTATAAGATGACCCCCTCTTCTAACGCACACCAAATAAAAAATAAAAAAAAATCAGATTTGATTTCAATATGGTAATTTTAATTCAAATGCTTATGACATTGAGGTACTTAGCAGAACAACTGTCACTTATAAACATAAGGCTGTTTGTCATCAAACATGTAAACATAAAACAGTGCAAGTGAATTAATGCATATGTGTATGTGTATGTATGTATGTGTATATATATATGTGAGTGTGTATACACACATATGTGTGTATATGGATGTATATATGGATGTATATACACACACACACAGTATATATACACACATAAATACATACATACACACAAACACGCATAGATACAGACACACACACAC